TTAAATTTATTAAAATATTATTGGGAATTTGACTCCATTCCTCCTGTAATGCTGTCTCAAGCTCTCTTATATTTTTAAGCAAAATCCTCAAAGATCAAAAAGACCACGAAATTTGGTAATGTACGCGATCCAAATGGAGCATTTTTAGGCGTAAATGGAACCCCAGAATACGTACTGAAGTATGTGAAGAGTTTAAAACGATTAGGAATAGATCAATCGACCTTTATTATCAACATCGTGTGGACTCAGTATTGATCTCGCTTAATCTTGTGTTTTTATCAGAAATTGATCAACACTTTCTAATAATAATAGGCCAGTCGCAGCGATGGCAGAACTTGTTAAAGAGGAAAAGATTAAATATTTGGGTTATCGGAGTGTAGTGCCAACACTTTGCGTCGTGCTTATAAAGTCCATCCGATAGCTGCGTTACAGGTAACAACACATTGATATAGGTTGGGTTCTAATAAAATTATTATTATTTAGAGTGAATATAGTCCATGGAGTCTCAATATCGAATAAAACAGAATTTAGAGGTTTGTCGTAAACATGGTGTCACTGTTGTGACATATAGTCCTTTGGGACGTGGTTTCTTAACGGGTTGTTTTGTTATTCTATTTTTTTATTTCTATTGTTTAGATCGATCGTTAAATTTCTCTTTTATATATCGATGTTGTCACTTGATTTTAGAAAATCTTATGACCATCATCTACATGTACTCATAAGAATTCTTGTCGGATCAAACTTTCTTTGAGTATTTTTTTTCTTGTCTATTAGAGAAAAGTGTTGTGTAATATTAAAAAATAAACCAATATTTTCTTAGTTTCTCATCTTCTTCATGAAATGAAAGTTAAATTTTGATTAACTTGGAGAGTAAAGATAGCATTTATTATGCATAGAGCAATTAGATACACATAAAGCAAAACAAAATCATTTCACAAACCAAACTATCTCTTGTATCATGAAAATATGGATAGGTGAATGCAATGAGTTAGACATTCACTACCTTCTATGAGAAGATGCCTAAAAGACTGGAGAAAGATAAAAATGAATGCAATTATAAATAAATATAATGAGTAAGATATTTATTACCTTCTATAAGAAGATGTCTAAAAGGCTGAAGAAAGATATAAATCATTTTTACATGGAGATAAAAATAAAAATATGGATGAACTTCATAAAAGAAATGTATAATAGAGAGAGATAGCTTATTAACTCTCTGCTTTAATACCAGAGTGCTTAGAGAGAATATATATATTCTAAAAGAGTTAGAGAAATTAGAAATACTTACAGATATATACAAGAATAGAATATTTACTATCTCTCATCATGAATAGATAGATATTATGAGAAATATTTGAAAAAATAATAGTACTTTAAGAATTAGAAAGAAAGATTAAAGTAAAATAACTAATATAATACTATAATTATAAGAATAATATCTGATTTTAATCTTATTAAATGACAAGAAATTATTACTTGATAAGACTTAAATATTTCTAATTAAATGATTATATAAGAGAAAGATAATTAATAAATAGGAATAGTAAAAATCTGAATGAATATTTATATTATATATATATATATCAAATATATAAATTAACAAAATTAAAGGATTACATATATTATATATATTATATTTATATTTAATAGATAATATCGTAAACTGCTAACTAGTATACTTTCCTATAATTTATATCCTGTATTAATTTTTGAATCTAATTTTTGATTTATACTCAAGTATTATACATAGTATAGTTCAAAGAATTATATCCCTATATAATGAAAAATATCTAGATATAACAACAAAATTTTATTTATTTAATATTTCTAATTATTCTTTACTTGCCCAATCATTTTTATACTCTTTTATTTCATTATATATCTCTTTATCAATAGAATTAACTATCAAAGCTTCTTTACTATTTTTTTCTATCAAACTCTTATAATTAAAAACTAATTTATCTTCTATTCTATTCATATTTACTAAAATATTATAATATTTAAATACTTTTTTAATTAAGTTAGAATCAATATTATCCTATAATTCTTTAATTCATTATATAACAATTATATATGATAGTTTTCAAATATATTTAGCTAGTATTAATTGATAAACTTTATTAGTTATCTATTTATTATAATAATTATGTATCTAATAAATTAAAATTTTAATAAATATATTTAATATAATAATAATATGATAAAAAAAATTAATTTATCTTTTATTTAAAACTTTTATTAATAGTAATATCTAGTGATTAAAATTTACTAGTTAATTTATCTGAAATAACTGCAAGATAAGTATTATTTTCTTTAAAATTTTGTTTAACTAATTTAATTAAATAGTCTCAAAATGAATCTAAAACAAGAAAAGATTTTAAAGTTCCTATCTTATTATATTTGATCTAAATAATATCAATTTAATAATTTATCTTTTATTTATTATACTATTCTTTCTTATTAGCTTAATAATAACTTCTTGAAAAAAGTTTTCACATAAAATATTTTTTAGTTTAAAGATATATGTAAATAGAAGTTTTGTATTATCAGTAAAATATTCAAGAATTATGATAAAACAAGCTTTTTTATATTCTATTATTTAAATACTAACTGTCTTAATATCATATTATTCAAGAGTTATTAAATAAAAAAGATCAAAAAATAATAATATTTCATTTATATTTTCAATATATTTTATTAGAAACTTATATCAATAACATTTAAGTAAAATAAAACTTAAAAATTCACTTTGTTTTTTGATAAGATTTTTAGGAAGATATTATATAATAGTTGTATAGTAATAATTTAAAAAATTATAATAATATAAAAATTTACATTAGAGAATTTGAAATTGGTAATATTAGAATAAAAATTTTTAAATTCATCAGTTTTAAAAAATTAATTTTGCTTTTTGAATTATCATATTTTGCATTATAACATTTTACTTATCACATAATTCCATAACTCACCTAACAAGTTTTTGTTCAAGTAATAGATATTGTACTTGATGACTATGATTGAGTATTAAAGTATAAGATACAGCCTTAAATAGTTTTTTTTTTTACTTCTCCACTCACAAACTTGCTTAGATTTAATATCAAATTATTTAGCTGTCTCTTACATATTATTAACATATTCTAAATAATGAATAATCATGAATTTTTCATAAGCATACCAATTGTGACAAATTTTTTTATAGTGTAAGATCATTTTAGAGATTTATTTCTGTATAAAGATATTTTTTTGAAATTTAAAGTCAAAAATTTTATATATCAAATATTAATAAAAATAAAAAATTAAAAATTATGTTAATATAATATGTATGATAAAAAAATATATTTGATTAAAGTATAAAGATAATTCTATTATATTAAGATTTTATTAATAAATTTAGTTTAACAGAATAGATTTACTATAGAATTATCTTTAATTATAATTAGTATTTCAGTAAAATAGAATTTGATATAATAGAATTATCTTTATACAAATATACAAATCATATTTATATTTATAATATTTCTTAGAAAAATAAATCTCTAGTAATTTCTTTAGAGATACAACTCATGAAATATATCTTCCACCAATATAAAATATCTTTTTTACTTGAGTACTTCAGGTACTAAAATAGATATTAGAAATACCTGGATATATTAGTCAGCAGTTTATGATAATTATATTATATATATATATATATATCAAATATATAAATTAATAAAATTAAAGAATTATATTATTATAAATTATATTTATAAAGATAAGATTTATCAGGAATATAATTTATAATAAGTTTTGAGAATGAAGACTAAATTATTTATAAAGATAAAAAGAATTATGATTATTTTAAAGATTTTTTAGTGCTAATATTTATGAGTATTATATCAATACAAGATAAAAATGAAGAGAAATTATAATTATGAAACTAAACTAAGAATAGATATCAAAAACTAAATTAAATATTATAACTAAAATAAAAGATTTAGTATGCTAACTAAAACTCTTTAGCAGTATCTTTTTAACTATTAGGTAAATAAAAAGTATATATCAAAAATAAAAAAAAGCTTTTATATGTAAAAAAGCTTATAAAAATCTTTATAAATCAAATAAAATATACTTGGCTTATTTTAAGTGAAAAGCATCTATTATCTATATTTTTTAAGTAAGAAAAATATATAATTAACCAGAATATAATTTATTATAATAGAAAAAATAATTAAAAGTAGAATATCAAGATAAAAATTAAAAAAATTACAAGATAAAAGATAATTAAATTATTACTATTCAAATATATTTATTTTATATTTAAGAATAAGAATAGAGATATTTATATATCTTTAAGATTTTACAGATTTCATCTAAACTTTACTCATAATTCATTTGCTATTTTAGTATATAATTATAAGTTTTAGAGCTAAAGAATTATAAATGAATAAGTAAAATAATAAGATAAGATATATATAATAAGTTAAAAGATAATATAAATAATAAAATAAAATAAAAAGATAAGATAAATATTTTAAAAAGAAAATATAATAAAGAAAAATAAATTAAATTTATTAATAAACTATTTTTAAAATATTTTTAAACTGTTAATGAACTATTTGTAAATTATTTCTAACTTTTGAGCTATTTATATAATTATAATCTTGAAATATTACTAAAGTATTGCAGAAATATTACTAAATAATAACTGAATTTATAATTGATATATTAATTAAATTATTCTAAATTATATATTTTCTAAAGATCAACTGATTAATTAAAAATTTAAAGTTCAAAAAATTATAAAATTAAAGAAATTTATATTATTACAATAATAATATATATTATATATATTATATAAATATGTATATTAACAAAATTAAAATCAAAAAATATTTTTAATTTATTAAAATATTAACTTAAATCAATATATATTTATTATTAAATATATAAATATAATATAAATATATAAATTAACAAAAATATTAAATGAATATTAATTATTAAAACAAGTATTAATCATTTAAATCAAATATTTTTATATTAAAATTTATTATATATTTATTTTATTATATATATAAAATTAAAATTTTAATTTTAATTTAACTCATATTAAATAAATTAAAAAAATATAATAGATTAAAATAAATTTTAGATCTTTTTTATATATATATTATATAATTTTATTTTATTATAATATATAGATTATTGCAAGAAAATTAATATATTAATATAAAAATTAATAATTATTTTTAATAAAAATTATTCAAATTTTAACTAATTCTTAAAACAAAATTTAATATAGAAAATATAGCTCCTTTAGTTAAACATGGGGGTGGAGATTTGATGATGTGGAGTTGTTTTTTTGGTAAAGGCTTAGGTCCATTGGTAAAAGTAGAAGAAAAAATGAACAAATTCGATTATATTCAAATACTTGAAACC